ATTCTTCTCCAAGACTCATGACTTTACTAGCTGTGAGAAGTTTCCAGTATCAGGTACGTTTCCCTCTTGTTAAGCTGGTTATTGCTAAGGCATGTGTGCCACCATTGAGCCTTCATGGTTATGGTGCTTTGATGGTTGTTGTTGTGGTTCACAGGTGTCATATATCGGAAGGACTGTTGGTTGTTTTCCTCCTGTGGAAGCTTGCATGGGGCCTTCTGGTACCACGGAAGCTTGTCCTCAGGAATGAGGCATTAAATCAGTTTTGACTCAAGGGCCTTTCAGCCCTGTGTCTGAAGTGTATGCTGCCTTCATCAATAGTGAGCTTTTGGTCAGTGTTGTCTGGGAGACTCCCCAAACATACAACCTATTGCTATTGCCCTTAGCTATCCCCCACAGGTAGAAGGTAAGTCCCCATTTCTTTCCTTAAAAATAATTCTTCAAGTCTGGATGTTAGTAGTCAGAGTGGTGGTAGTCTGGGAAGGAAATCCGTGGACAGGAAGGTATCTTATAACTCTGCAGTGTGGAAGGTGGCCCTCACTGTTTCGTGGGTTGGATCTCAGACTGAGTGAAAGGGAAAGAGGGGGCTGGGCCTGCATTCAACAGTCTCTGCTTCTGATGGGGTGTGACTCGCTGCCTCCTTAAATGCTGCCTGCGGTGACTTCCCTGGCCAGATGAACTGTAACTCTGAACTGGAAGGTGAAACAAGCCATATTTCCCCAATGTCTCTTTTGACAGAACATTTACTATAGCAAAAGGAAGAAAAAAAAACAAACAACAAACAAAGAAAAACCCAAACATGGTCAGGCATGCAAATTTCTAGAGACTTCCGTCTAGAGAAAAGCAGAAGGAGTAACTAGGCTGTACTCAGACTTTTAATACTTTTATATTTGTTTCCATCAGTTACATTTCTCTGAAGATTGTGGATGGTGCCTCTGAGCCTCCTTTTAACTTCTATTCCCTCTGTAACCCATCTCCTACCACCATCACTCAGCCCTCTAGAGTATGTCCTGAGGTCTGCCCCTCCCAGTCCCCCAGGGTTTTTTCTCTTTAACCTGTGTGCGTTGTTCCAGTGGGGGCTTCGCAGGCTGGGGGGAGTTGGGGTCGTTGGGGTCCAGGCGTGGGGCTGGGACTCGCTCCTCACTCAGCCATCCTGCCTTTGGTTCTTTCCCAATCAGAAAACCTGAGCTATCCTCCAAGCTCCAGTTCCTCTTTCAAGAGTTTCTCTTCTTACTCACTTCTTCCATTTCTATGATTTCACTAACAATCTCTGCGATGACTCTTCCCACATCCGGTTTTGGTTCAGACTTCTCTACGGATATTTACACAGTGGTTTGTTTTTCTTTTCTTTTCTTTTTTTTTTTTTTTGAGGGAGCAGGACTTTTCACACTGTCACCCTTGTTATCCCTTCAAAATTCACCGTTTCCACTCTGGCTCGGGATCTGATTCATCTTCGGTTATTTCCTCTTTACATGGCTTAGGGTGGACACTTTGCTCCTGATATTTCTTCCTGACCTATTAATTAGGAAATTGTGCCACACCCAGTGACTCCGGGGAAATAACATACAAGATATTTCTGTTTTAGTAAAACCACTTGCTTTTTGGTGGGCTCCAAAACACATGTGTGCACATGAGTGGGGAAATCCATGGACACTCTGAGCTGTTGCACCACCGTGGAATTCTTCCTTTTTTGGGAAAGGGTCACTTGATGCCTGTAATTCCATATATAGGCTAGGCTGTTGGGCTAATGCTCCGGGGATCTACCTCCCCAGGGTTAGGATTACAAACATGCATGCATGCCGGGATTTTGGTTTGTTTCGATTGACATGGGTTTTCATGCTTTCAAAGTAATCACCTCGTTGACTGATGAATTTCTCCAGGCCACCCGAACTTAATTTACTCTTAACTTTGAGGAGGAGTTTGTGATGGGAAAGACTGAGGAAGGACTGGTGTTAGTAGGATTTCCATTGCTGTGACACAATAGCAAGGTAAAGGAGAAAAGGTTTGCCTGGGCCTTGTAGTTTCAAAGGTTTTATAGGTGGTAAGGTAGAGCAGTTCACAGTTTGACAGCTGAGAATTGTGCGCATGCATACACACACACACACACACACACACACACACACACACAGAGAGATAGAGAGAGAGAAAGAAACACGCCTGTGCTTTTTCTTTATCCCTCCCTTATGCTATCTGGCCTCCAGTCTACTGGATGCTGCTGCTCACATGCAGGGTGGGGCTCTCTGTCAACCCACCTCACTTAATTCTCTGAAAATGGTATCACAACAAATCTAGAGACGTGCTTTGTTAATTTCTTAGGCACTTCTCAGTTCTATCAAGCTGATAATCTTGTTGGTCAATCAAGATGAAACAGCACAGCCTGTTAGTTAGTGATGGACAGAAAGATTAATAAAGCTCCCTTCT